TCTAGCCAGTAGCTCACTAATGTTCAGACTCCTTAAGAGTCTGCCCAATATGATGGATGTTCTAATAAACCTTGTCTTTGGCTGAAAGAAGGCTTGGGTCAAATTCTTTCGGACAGGACCCATGTGTTCTGATTTTGGAGTCTCAGCACCCCTAAACCTCAACACATACACTCCCTTCTTATGCTATGTATGCTTCAGTTCTCTGCTGTCTTGGAAGGAGAGGCTGAAGGGAAGAGGAATGGTGTACCTTCCTGGCAGTCAGGGTATTGTAATAAAGGACTCAGGTGGTGGGAGAAGTCAGGGAAGGCATTTCAGAGCTGAGCCTAGAAGGAAGATAAAGATTTTAAAAGGTAAGGTGTGTGTGTGTGTGTGTGTGTGTGTGTGTGTGTGTGTGTGTGTGTGTGTGTATGTGTCTATCCCAACCCAAGTAATGTAAAGTAATTAATGTAATATAATATAATGTAAAGCCCAGACAGCAGTTGGACAAAATCATCATCAGGTAAAGATAGATGACACCACACAAGAAATATCATGTGATTGGCTGAAAGAATCAGACACATCTCTGGGCCTATACATAATATAGCAAGTCAGCTCTGAATTGTGGATTGAGTAGCCAGTGCATCAGTCTAGAGGTGGAAGAACTCCACCCAAGACCCTGAGAATGATTCATTGTGGGAAGGAGAGTGAGTTTGGGAGACCCAGCAGAGCTATCAGAGTTTCCATTAGTGACTAGAGTTGGTAGCAGAGTTCACGTAAGCCAGTGGTAGTGGCCACCAGAACTTATAGTGGTCTATGAAAGAGGAAATTCCTGCAGTCCCTCGAAGAAAGGAAATTTCAGGGATTGTGACCACTGATGATGGAGAGAAGTGTCAGTTGTGGAGAAGCATTTGAGACTCAGCACAGAACTATACCTAAGGGTAATTCATGAGGACTCTATGAAGGAAGAAGAAAATTGACAGAAAACAGGAACTGTGAGTTTTTCCTTTGCCACACACTATCCCTACTTACGTGCCATACTATATTTGTAATGGACTGTGTCAAAAGCTTTAGAAAAATCAAGGAAGATGAGAACTTATAAGAGAGGCTATTATATTTAGCATGTAAGATGTCATTGTCATCTTTGGAGAGAGCAGCTTCAATAGAGTGATGGGGTCAGCAATCAGCAGAAAGGGGTTAAGTAAGTAAACAGTGAGGAAATAGAGACACTAAACACACACAAATCTCTCTAGGAATTTGGAAAATTAAGGAAAGCTATAGTTTAGGGGAATGGTATGGCCAAGAGAAGAGTTTTTTAAGTGGGGGTGGTGGTGGTAGGGAGATCTGAGCATGCTTGTAGTCATTGAGAAGGTAGCCAGTAGAAAGCAAGATATGAAAGACAAGAGAGAGAAAATGAATGAATGAATGAAGAGTCAAGTACTTCGAGTATGTGGGAATAAGTGGGATCAAAAACATAAATAGAAGAGTCAGCTATGATAAAGAGGAAATCTGCTACTTCCTTAGAGACTAAAGCAAAGGGGGAATGATGAGTTAAAGTGTAGAGAGGGGGAAATGAGAAAATTTATGGAGGAGGAGGAGTTAAAGTAGGAGGAAAGGTCATTTTTTGAGAAATGGATGTATGGGGGTAAGCAGTGGAAACTTTAAGAGAGGAAAAGCTTGGATCAGCTACTTCAAAGAGTCTTGAAAGAAAGTCAGGGAGAGATACCACGAATTTATGTTGTACTCTGGACAGATGCATGACCCTCCAGGAGCATTCAGTAGATCAAGAGTAGGAGCAGAGAAGCCTGATGGTGGAGAATGAGGTTGGCAGGGCATGAATGATGGAAAGGTAAGGGGGCAACTCAGTCATGGGTGGAGAACAGCAAAGAATTTAGCTTGTTAAGTAAAGAATCCAAAGGAAGGGAAGAGAGGCAAGAGTACTGGACTGGGAGAAAGGGCAGAAATAAGGGAGCTGAACCTCCATATCAAATCCCCCTGTCCTGTGGGATTTAAATGACTCAATTTTGGCCCTCTGCCCTGAAGATGAATTATTCTGATTGGTGGGTAAGTTAAAACTCACCTACCCACTATGTTTATCTGGCCCCAGACAATATCTCACATTCCATTCTGCCATCCAACAGGAAATCAATACCCAGTGTGTCCTCCCACCTCATGTGCATCCTCTCTCGCCTTGAACTTCTTACCCTTGCTCTGGTAATAATAATAAATTCATTGTTACTAGACAAAGCATGGCAATCAGCTGCCCCATGCCTCCACTCACAATCCTTGTGATTCTGCAAACTGAAACTTCCTTCTTTGGCCCCCAGTCCTCTATATGTGTTATACTTCTTATTAAAATATAAATTCCTTGAGGGCAGGGGCTGACTCATTTCTGTATTTGTATTTGTATTCCCACTGTCTAGCATGTCACATCATAGGTATTTAATAAAATTTTTCATTCATTCATTCATTCATTCACAGTAATAATGAAGAATATATTTAGGAAGAGTGAAGCAGAGAGAGGATAGGAGATAATGAGTAGAAAAGAGAATTTCAAATTTCAGACCATAGATGGGTAATAGCAAATTCTAAACTCTGGCTCAGATCCCACCTGGTCAGCTCTAGGAAGTTTTGGCTTTGATATTGACTGGTTGAAGGGATTGAGGAGAATTTAAGGGTTCTGTAGAGAGCTCCTGAATCAATGTCAGATGCCTTTTTTGTTTCCAGTGTCCCCTGATATCTAGCTGCTTTCTGTGTTTGTAGGAAAATGATACAGGATTAGTGGGTTGCCAAAGATAGACTCCAGGGGCAACTAGGGGGCTCAGTGGATAGAGCCCCAGCCCTGGAGTCAGGAGGACCTAAGTTCGAATCCGGCCTCAGGCACAAAAACACTTACTAGCTGTGTGACCCTGGGCAAGTCACTTAACCCTATTGCCCAGCTGCCCCCTCCCCACCAAAAAAAGATAGACTCTAACCCCAGGTTGTTATCTAGATTTGCATTTATTTTGTATTTCTTTATTTGTGTAAACAATAACATTAATAATAATAATGATAATGATAACTAGCATTTATATAGTGCAGATTGGGAGTAGAAGCAAAGCAGCATAATGGTGGGGATGACTATGCCAGGCCCTGTGCTAAGTACTTTATAGTTATTATCTTATTTGATCCTCACAGCAACTCTGGGAGGTAGGTGCTATTGTTCCCATTTCATAGATGAGAAAACTGAAGCAAACAGAGGTTAAGTGGCTTGCCCAAGGTCACATAGATATTCTGGGTCCAAATTTGAACTCAGGTCTTCCTGGCTTGTGGCTTAGTGCTTTCTTTACTCACTGAGCCACCTATCAGCCCGTGTTGTTTTTCCTCAGGAAAATGAACTCGTTCAGGGCAGGAACTGTTTCAATTTTTCTTTGTATTCCCAGTACCTACTAAGTGCCTGGTAAATGCTAAATAAATGAATAAATGAATGACTTGTTTTTCAGCCCACTTCCAAAATGCATTTCGTCTGGATATCATTGACTCCAACAGTATGAAGCATGAAGTTAGACATTGGTGTCAGGTACTTAAATGTGGGTCCTTGTGGAACTTTCTTTCCTGAAGAGAACACCACCATTCCAACCCATCTGGCACTAGATCACTGGCCTTACAGCCCTATTCAGGGGAATGAAAATGGACAGGACCAATTAACCAATCAGCAAACATACAGAGCCCTCAATATATTCCCCAAATTCTGGTAGAGTACTGTGGGAATACAGAACAGAATCATATAAAATATTAGATTTAGAAGGGGTCTTTGAGATCATCTAGTCCAATCTCTTCATTTTAGAGCTGAGGAACCTAAGGACCAGAGGTTAAATGGTCTCAAGACCAATCTCTTAAGTGGTAGAACCATTTGGTTCTACCCAAGGTCAGTTCTCTGGCTCCAAGTCTGGCACTTTTCCTAATATACATTCCTCCCATTTCCTCTGACACCTACTCCCCCCAGTTTAGGTAATAGGGGAATGGTGTGGATATTCAAGAGGCCTTTAGGAATATGCTGGAGATCACATTAGGCCTTAGAACTATTCATTCAACATTCACATGTTATTAGGATTTCAAGCTGAAAGGCACCCTACAGATCACCTGGTCCAACCCTTTATGGTATAGGTAAAGAAACTGAGTGTCTTCATTAAAAAGTTGTACCTTGTACACAGGAGCATGCTATGTGGCTGAGGAAGATTCAAAAATGAATAAGACTGCTCTCAGGGATCTTACAGTCTTCTCAGAGATATGAAGACAAACGGAAATAAAAACCATCCGTATTAGAAAATGACAAATTCTTAAGAGGATTATAGAAAGCTCTGAGATCAGATGAACCTCACAACCAAGCACTCCGGTTGCATGCTCGCTTTAATCTCCTTTAGAGTAAGGGGAAGAAACTGGGAGGGTGAGAAGCAGAAAGGGGGACAGAGGCTTGAAAACCAGGGACCCAGAAGGAGTGATTAGAGAATAGTGCCAACCCTCAAAAAGTTAGCTGCTTCAAGAAGAAAAGGGGAGGTCGTTTGGGGACCTTACAATGCTCCACGTGGTCTAGGGAAGTTTTACGTGTTGCTTTATAAGGAGGGAGGGAGGGGGGTGGGGAACAGCCTCCAGTCTCGTTCTCCCCAGTTCTTGCTAAATCAGCTCACTCAGGATTGGGAGCGGAAAGGGGAGGTAGGTGTTGCGCTTGCAAAAATGTCAACGTATGGGTTCTCCAGAATGGGGACGCTGACTAGGTACGCGGACTCCCCTTCCAGGTCCAAAACCAATTCAACGAGCCCCCTCCCTTTCTCTCCCACTGGCCAGTTCCTCCCACCCTCTGTCAGGTCCTCCTACCTACCCATAACTCTCCACTCTAGCCCCTCCTGCTCGTATCTACAGACCTGAAAACTGCTGGGCACTGGCCGTGGTGCTGAAACCGAGGTCAAGTCTGAAGGCGGAGCCGAGGTTGAGAGTTGGGGCGGGGGCGGGGACGGGGGCGGAGGAGGAGCAGGCAGAAAGGCGGAGAAGAGGGCCTGGGCAGAGGTGGAGTGGTACGCATCGGGGGAGGCAGACCCAGCTAGGCCTAGAAGGAGGCATATCCCGGGAAGATCGGGCACGGAAACCGGGATAATCTCCCCTCCTGCGGAAAACCTATGACTGTCTGCCTCTCCTACCCCGACGTTATCCCTGGAGTGAAATCTCCCATGGCCATCTCCTGCACTACTCTACAACTTCACCCTTGAGCTTTTCCTTCCCCAGGCCAGGGTTGTGGGCCCAATCTTGGGCTCCGAGTCCCTGAAGCTACCTCTCCAGTCTCTCTACTTCTAGGTTCCCCTCTCCTACCTATCCGCCATGACGAAGCTGCTGCCTGCCCAAGAGGCAGCCAAGATCTACCACACTAACTATGTGCGGAACGCCCGGGCAGTGGGGGTTATGTGGGGTACCCTCACTATCTGCTTCTCTGTTCTGGTCATGGCTCTGTTTATTCAGCCTTACTGGATTGGAGACAGTATCAACACACCCCAAGCTGGCTACTTCGGCCTCTTCTCCTACTGTGTGGGCAATGCCTTGACTTCAGAGCTTATCTGCAAGGGCAGCCCCCTGGACTTCAAGACCATACCCTCCGGTGCCTTTAAGACTGCCATGTTCTTCGTGGCTGTTGCCATGTTTCTCATTATTGGTTCCACCATCTGCTTCAGTCTCTTCTTTGTCTGCAACACAGCTACCGTCTACAAGATCTGTGCCTGGATGCAGCTGGCAGCTGGTGAGGGGGCAAGGGAGGAGGCAGGTGTGGGTGCCTTATTCCATGGGAGGGGATCTGTGTCATAGCATCGATGGTCGCTTTAGTGGTTCCCATTCCTGAGACCTGGGAGGAAGTAATTTTATAGTAGGAGGGACAATTTTAAACTTGGAATTAGGATCTTGATTCAAACCCTAGTTTTATCAAACAAGTATTTCTTAAGTGCCTACTAAAGGCCAGGGACTTTGCTAGACCCTAGCTCCTCCAATTACTGAGTGCCAACAGGCAAGTCATTTTTCCTCTCTGATAGTTTTCTTATCTGTAAGATTTGAATTATGCTTGAACTAATTGCCACACAGAGTTTTTGTGGGGAAAGCATTTATTAAGCTTTAGATTCTTTTGATTATTACACCATTAGGAATTACTGACTGAAGAAGTTAAAGCTGGAGGGGACCTTAGAAAACATGTGGTCCAGCTTCCTCATTCCATCGCCTAAACATTTATTAAATGCTTCCCACATACCAGGCTGTGGGAATACAAAGGCAAAAGTTAACAGTTGTACCCTCGATGAACTTAGAGTCTGTTGAAATGAGGCAACTGAAGCCCAGAGAAGGGAAGCAACCTGCCCATGGTTAATTAATTAATTAATGGCAGAATTGGGACTGGAACCCAAGTCTTCTGATTGACTGCCTTCTCTACATTATCACAGACCCTCTCCAGCCACACACACACACCCACCCAAGTCTTCTGATTGACTGCCTTCTCTACATCATCACAGACCCTCTTCAGCCACATACACACACACACACACACACACACACACACACACACACATTCACCCTAAAAGGAAGATAAGGCCTTCTGTGAAGCTATAGAAGAAAGGTAGTTATTTCCTTTCTGCTCAAGGCTGGCCCTCAGCAAAAAGATAAAGTCAAGAAAGTTTGTCTGAGGCACCCCTAGCCTCACCTTTCAGTGTCTTTTCCTTCTTCCCCCTCCCTAATCTCAGGTGTCCTTTGCCTTCCAAGTGCTTTCCTTCTCCCCTCAAAAAAATCTGCTCTGGGAAAAGATCTGACACACTGGTCCTTGAATATTGTGAATGAAGTCTCAGGGTGCCTCCCATCTGAGGGGTTCACTGTTGAAGCCTCTGCTCTAACTGTGGGATGGAAGGCTCTGGACTTTGGTATTTTGAGCTTCAGTGAGAAGTTGGGGGAGAGTTAGAACTGGGTAGGAGGCCTGACCAGGTACTGGAATTATAGAAATGATAGGGAGTCATTTGCTATCTTGGGTAAGTGGCTTTCTCTTCCTCCCTGGCTCCTCTCTATGACAAGTCTCTTGGCCCCTGTATTGGCCTGATCCTTCTGCTCCCTCAATGGCATGGGGTTCTCCTGCTTGCCCTATACTATCAAGGGGCCTGGTAGACTCCTGCACCATTGCTTCTTATTTTGGGGTACAAAGAAGACTACTTACTTGTTAGCTATTATTATGGCCCTCAGACATTGGTTAAAACTTAGGCACCTTATTTAAAATGGAAAGAATATAGGGCATAGTGGAACAGTCTTGCATATCTTGGTCAACAAAATTAGTTAGTGATATAAGACAAGATGAAGTAGAAAGTAGCAAGCAGGTCCAAAAGAAAATGAGTTAATGACCTCTCTCAGACCTCCTCTTCCTGTATGGTGAAGAACTTTACATTGCTATGGGCAGGCTTGTTATGGGAAAGGGGAAATGTCTAGGAAAGGAAGCAAAGATATGATTAGGGAGACAGAGAAAGAGTGATTATGTCTTGTGATAGTTTTGGAGGTTGGTGATAATTTTTGTAGCCAATGAGTTTGGGGCTTAGCAAATTTGACTCCCCAAAGAAAGGAAGGGGGAGCGTGCTGCGATGGAGCCAGGCCTTCAGGGACAGAGGAGGGAGACCTCGGGCTGAAACACCTAGGATGCCTTATCCTAGCAGAAAGAAGGAAGGAAGGAAGGTAGGAAAAAAGGAGGGAAACAATCATTAAGTACCTATAAAGTACCAGATACTGCGTTAAGTGCTTTACAAATGTTATCTCATTGGGTCCTCACAACAACCCTGGGAGGTAGGTGCTATTATTATCCTCTTTTTATATATGAGGAAACTGAGGAAAATAGAGGCCAAGTGACTTGTCCACATAGCCAGTAAGTATCTGAGGCCATATGTGAACTTGCTTTTTCCTAACTCCAGGTCCAAGCATTTTATCTACTGTGCCACTTAGGTGCCTCTGCATAAATCAAATAGGGTGGGGCTGCTAGGTGGTGCAGTGAATAGAGCACCGGCCCTGGATTCAGGAGGACCTGAGTTCAAATCCAACCTCAGACACATAACATTTACTAGCTGTGTGACCCTGGGCAAGTCACTTAACCCCATTGCCTAACCAATAAATAAATAAAAATAAAAATAAATCAAATAGGGTTACCTACAAGGTCTAATCTGGGGGGCACTAGGAAGCTCCTCTTCTCAAAATATCTCTCCCAACTGAATGCCTCGGTGCCAGAAGTGCTGCCATTAGTGTTTCATCCATTAGGATAATAGGATTCAGGGCTGGAAAAGAATTTAAAGATTGTTGTTCACAAAGTTTCACAGGGAGGAAATTAAGTTCAATTCAACAAACATTTATTAAGCACCTGTTATGTGAAAGGCGAGGGGCAGGGTGGGGTTGTAGACAACGCTGGCCTTGGACTTGAGACTCTTCAGTTTAAGTGCCACATGAGTATGATGTAATTTCTGTGGGTCTTTAGCAGCTCTCTAAGACTAGAAGGTTGTTTGCCTGTTTTTTGTAGTAGTAGTTCTAGCACCCAGATCACAGGCTTTGATGTGCAAAGCCTTGTGCTAGGTGTTGGATTTATAAAACAAAAAATAGTCCCTGCCCTCAAGGAGCTTAATATAAGCTACTGGGGGGAATACAACATGTACCCAGATAAATAAGTAGAACACTGAGAGAGGCAACTAAGCTACATAATGGGTAGAGTGCTGGACTTGGAGTAAAGAAGAGCTGAATTTGAATTTTAGCTCAAACAGCCTTGTGACCATGGGCAAGTCACTTAACCTCTGTCAGCCTGTTTTCTAATCTACAAAATAGGGGTAATAATGGTATCTACTTTACAGGGTAGCTGTGAGGGTTCAATGAGAATATATTTAAAGCATTTTGCAAATCTTAACATATAAATGTTAGCTATTATTTCAATCAATCAGTAAACACGTAGTAAGCACCTACTAGGTGCCAGACGCTGTGCTAAGTGCTGGGGGTACAAAAAGAGGCAAAAGACAGTCCCTGCCCTCAAAGAGCTTACAATCAAATGAGGGCGACAACATGCAAATAAATATGTACAAAGCAAGCTATATTCAGGATAAATAGGAAACAATTACTAGAATTAAGATTAACTAGGGAGAATCAGGAAAAGCTCCCAATGGGAGGAAGCACCTTAGCAGCCTCACAGGAAGCTAAGGATTCTAAAAGTCAGCGGTGAAGAGGGAGTCCATTGTAGGCATGGGGGACAGCCTGGTGGCCATCTCCAGTCATCTTGACCTATGTCTGGCCACTGGACCCAGATGGCTCTGAAGGAGAAAGTGAGGCTGGTGACCTTGCACAGCCTTTCCTCACTTAAATCCAATTCACTTGCAAGTCATGGCATCATTTCCTGATGTCATGGTCTTCTTCAAGAATGAAGGATAAGCAACAACAAGAAGAAGAAGGGAACGGCCTGTATGAAGGCATGGAGGTGAGAAATGAATTGTCAAATTTGAAGAAGAGTCAGGAGGCCAATTTGGCTGGAATAACAAGTACACGAAGGGAAATAATGGAAATCAGTTTGGAACGGTAGGCTGGAGCCAGCCTGTGAAGGGCTTTAAATATCGAAGTGATAAGAGCAATAGGGAGCCACTGAAGATCCATGGGCAGGGGAGTGAAATAATCAAATCGGTGCTTTAGGAAGACTCTCTTGGCAGCAGACGGAGGATAGATTGGATCGAGGAGAGAATGGAAGCAGGAAGACTGAGCAGTGGTTCAACTGAAAGATGATAAAGACCTGAACTAAGACGGCAGCTCTGTGAATAGAGAAAGGGAAGGATGGAAGAGATGTTGTGAAGGTAGAAGCAAGTCTTCGTTCCTGATTAGATGAGGGAGAAAGGCAGAGTGAAGAGTGGAGGATGGTTCTTAGATTGTGAATTTGACTATCTGGAAGGATGGCGGCTCCCTCAAAAGGAACAGGAAAGTGACCAGCTATTGTCCCCACTAGAGATTTTTGAGACTGGTTCCCTGCACATATGTAACAGAAAGTTAGAAGTGAAGGTCCCGTTAGAAATAAAATGGACCATCCTTCTCTTCCATAGATAAGCAAATTGAGGTCCAGAGAGGTTATTTGATTTGCCCTAAGTCACACAGTCAATCAGTGGCAGAGTTGGGAATAGAACTCAAGCTTCCTAGATAGCTTCTAATTAGTGTTCCTCACAGTCCTGAGCATCATCCTCTCCCTTAGTCTCTCTTTTAAAATGCAAATACCTATGGGGGGTGGGGGTAGTATCTTAAATACCTAAACCTATGTTGTAAGTGACTATATTGGATTGGTTTTATCACTGTTTGGAAGGGTAGGGGGAACATGAGATCCCCGAAAGGGGGAGGGTATGGGCAGCAAAGTTAAACTTCATCAAAGACTTCACTATTGTATCCACAGCTAAGCCTGCTGTAATGGAAGTGAAGATAGTTACCAAGTAAGAACATGACACTTGGGTGCTGAGGAAGGATGGGATGGGAGTGGAGTGAGATTTATGCCTAATTTGACCTGACCTGTGAAAACTGGCTTCTCAGTGTGTCAGAAGACTCGGGATGGAGTACTCATCTGTAGTCAGGGAACTTCTGAGGGCTTCGAGGGTCATGATATTAGAACTGGAAGTGATTAGAGGTCAACCAGTCCAATTTCCCCCAAGTTACAGATGAATGAACTGAGACCTAGATAAAGGAAGGGACTTGTCCAAGCCCACACAGCTCAGTAAGCAACAGAACCAG